GAATAGATCCAGCCCAAAGAAACCAAGCCCGCTAAAAATGAGGAAAAAATATCCAACTCACAGAAACCAATCCCACCGCTTACTCCCAGTGACAGTCCACCAGACGATTTTGACACTGTCTAAGCCTGAAAATCCAAATCGCTAATTCCCCACCACCAGCTCCATTGCAGGTTGCTGTGGACGATAGCCTTGTGGATCAGAAGGACATTGAGGTGCTATTTCAAGATTTCTAGCTGCAAGGTTTGATGACTTGGTTAATAATTGATGGTTTTGAATTGGGTATTCTTTGATATGAATTGGGTTTTGGTTTGCTGAAATTGTGTTTGTAGTTTTGGGTTTCGAATTGGTTGAAATTATGGTTAACTTTTAGCTGTAATCCGACACTTTTTAGTAAAAACATAAACTGGTTCTATTCCCATTGAAATAAAAATTTGTACTTTTTGTTAATCTGAATAATTTTACTTATCGGATGTAATTATGTGTTTTCCTATAGTTGGTTTTAAGATCTCTTATTATTTGTGATTTCAACTTGGTACTATGTGGAAGGCAATAGGTGCTACAAAATATTAAGAGTTTAATGCTTGAGACTTGTATGAGGGATAGTGAGTCATGCGCACTTTCAGCATTTAAAGATCATCGTTAGTTTTGTTTTAGCTAGTTTTTAATATCGTATTTCATCTACAAGTGTTCATTTGCTAAATTTCCAGCAACTCATGTGAGAAACTGGTGATCCGGTTGATAAGATTCTTTATGTAAATTTGCAAACTAAACTTGTAAAGCTGTTCCAAAAATCAATAAGCACGATAACATAAGTAACTTTTGGTTTCTGAAAATTTAATCTAATTCAAGTGTTGTACCCAACTTAAAGTGATTTTACTGTAATTTTTTTTTTTTTTGTGTTTGTATTTATATTGTAGCAGTTTTTACTGATTTTCTTTTGCAAAGTTTCCACTTTTCACTGTATTTGTTATCTTCCTCTTATAGCTTATTATCTGCATTTTTTTTTGTCTGTGTGGGATTTCTTTTAACTTCTTTTGTTTTTCAGTAGTTTCTTGTTTAAAACTGCCCTTTTTTCTAGTTATTTTTTCATATGCAGTCTTAACTTTGCTAGAGTAATTACTTAAAAAATCTAAGCTCAAAGTAACAAGTATACCGAAGACAACAAATTGTTAAAAATAATTGAATGTATGAGCATGATCAATATTTGTAATTTTGGTGATGCTTATTGTTTGTCATACGACTTGTGGTCCTTGGTTTTCTTTGTCCTTTTTCGTTCATGGTACCTAGCTGTTATAGTTTATTTGTCTTCCCATGGATAGTTTATTTAGCCCAGGCCTGCCTCAAGCTCATTAGTTTTTTTAGGTTAAAAAAATTATGGAAAAAAAACCTTTTTTCTATGAACCATCCTGGTATTAAAAAAAAAAATTTGCGCCTGTCCAGTTGGTTTACATAAGTTTAATAGTTGACATTTTGATGCTTCTTTTTGCTTGCAAAATGAAAAAGAAAGAGAATTCATAATGACCTTTTTTCTTATGGTTTTGTAGTCTTGAGCTGCTGCTACATTCTTACTTCAAGTTCTATATAACCATCAGAGTTGATACAGAGTTCATCGTTGACAAGTTTGATCACTTAAAGAATCGCAAGTTGTATCTTAAGTAGTATTTTGAGGTATATGTATTGCACATGCCTGAACTTTTTGTTATCTTTTTGTTTTCGTCTTTTACATTAATGTATTGGGTTAAATATGCAAATGGAGGGTAGGCTCATTATGTCTCCCTTTTTGTCTTTTCGAGCTTTTCTCGGAAGATCGAAGTTTTCTTTAAAAAATTTATACAGGCCCTCGGCTGATTAATCCTGGATCCTTCTTGTCAGCCTTGGCATACAACTACTACAGATCATTTTATCACCACTTTGCTGTATGTGTTTTCCATAGAAAAACGATGTCGGATCATAAGGCTACCATAATCGATGGTAAAGCAATTGCTCAAACAATCCGATCTGAAATTGCAGCCGAAGTTCGGCGCCTCTCCGAAACCTATGGCAAGGTATGTGTGTGCAGTTTTTATCTATTGAAATTTCTGTTTAATTGCAGTAGGACTTATAGAAGTGTATATATAGGTGTAAATGTTGAATTTGTAGAGTCTAATCATGTATTGGATCTTAATATTATAAAGGATATAAAGGCAACCCCTTTTTTATGGAGAAAAAAAAGACTGAGCTCAAAATAGATTGTAATCTCTTCATTATGGTAAAACGTTGCAGCGGCAAGTGAATGAAGCTCTCTCACTAGGAGGGAACTATTATAAATCATGTGTTCTTTACTTGCTTTTGATTCCTATTTCATGGTTCGTGTTAATTTTGCTCAAGGTAATATGCATTTAGGTGTTTAATCAATATCATGAACTTGTTTTGAAGTAGTTAAGCTAATTTCAGGTGCCAGGGCTCGCGGTGGTGATTGTGGGAAATAGGAAGGATTCTGAAAGCTATGTGAATATGAAAAGAAAAGCATGTGCTGAAGTTGGGATAAAGTCTGTTGATACTAACCTGCCGGAAGAAGTTTCTGAAACCGAATTGATTTGCCGGGTCCATGATTTAAATGCAAATCCTGATGTTCATGGTTAGTTGGTTATGAACTTACAAATCGACAATTACTTCAATTCCTACAACATGATTGGATATATTTAATTTTATTGCCAGTAATTGTCATGTCCACGATCTTAACAATGCAAGTGGGCATGGAAATTCTTATTCATAATGCAATTTGTTCCTATATTTGTCTGATTGTGCCAACTTGTATGACATCATTAACTGATTGGAAATCCTTATTCATAATGCACTTTGTTCCTATATTTGTCTGATTGTGTCAACTGGTATGACATCGTTAACTTATTTTTGGTTGTATAATTTGCAGTAGAAAAACTGTTTATGAAGTGATATTCTGTTCATTTATATAAAAACTATCTGATACATGTAATCTAACTATAGTACTGGCAATAAACCTTACATTTATCTTAACTATTTGGAGGTTGATGGGTATTGTAGAATAGGCTTGAGAATCAGGTTCAAATAACATTACTTTTATAACTAAAAGAACTAGTGATAGGAGAATGCAAAGAATTTGCTTGCATCAAGAGCTGTGTGTATCATGCATTAAAAACTACAAAATTATGTTTCTTTAGCTAAAAATCCTTATTCACTGATTTGAACTGGAAACTGATTTGACTCGTAGTCTATGGCCAAAAATATCATATAGATTCAATTTTGATGTGTGCCAGTTGAGGTGGCCATATAATTGAGTCTTCTACCCATCTTATCCACTTCTCCTTCGATTCTACAATTCAGCTGACATGCCCGTCCATTTCCATTTTCTTATTCATAATAAATTTTATTTTCATCTGTTACTGTGCTCTATTGGTGGGGAAAGTGAGAAAAAAATTTGTTATAGAGTATATAAGATATGAGCATTTTCTACATTGTGTCGGTGCAGGTATATTGGTGCAGCTTCCATTGCCTAAACATATAAACGAAGAGAAAGTTCTAACTGAAATCGCCCTAGAGAAGGATGTAGATGGCTTTCACCCTCTAAACATTGGCAAGCTTGCTATGAAAGGCAGAGAACCTTTGTTTGTTCCTTGTACCCCCAAGGTATATCATTCCTGAAATACTTTTGAGTTCCATTTAAAAGACTTCATGGACAGTTATTAATCAAGAAAATGTTTAGTCGGTGATTTTGTGGCAACTTAATAAATATCTGGTCTTATGGGCTGGCTGATGTAAACAGGGTTGTGTTGAGCTTCTGAAGCGAAGTGGCATTACTATAAAGGGAAAGAAGGCAGTTGTGGTGGGTCGAAGTAACATAGTTGGATTACCAGTTACTCTTCTCCTTCTGAAGGAAGATGCTACTGTTACTGTAGTCCATTCATGTACAAAGGAACCAGAGAGCATCATTCGAGAAGCTGACATTATTATTGCTGCGGCAAGACAAGCAATGATGGTAACAATAGCTTCACAATTGCATTCACCTTTCTCTTATCGTGTACATATTGAATGCAATTGATCTTTCCTGATTGTAATTTCCTTTTGAGCAGAAATTTTGATTGACCAATCTAACTTTCAGATCAAAGGCAGCTGGATTAAACCTGGTGCTGCATTGATTGATGTGGGGACAAATGCTATAGAAGATCCAAGTAAGAAGTCTGGTTATAGACTGGTCGGAGATTGTGATTATCATGAAGCGTGTAAAGTAGCTGGATGGATAACTCCAGTTCCTGGAGGTGTTGGACCAATGACTGTTGCAATGCTCCTTAAGAATACCTTGGATGGAGCCAAGCGAGCAATAGAGCATTGATTGTTCTTCCTCCCGGTTAATAAAATCTTTTCTCTGCTGTTTAATTAGATTTTGATTCTTACAACCCAGTCGAACTGCAGTGTAGTGTAATAAGATGGAATTAGACAGTGTGCGCCTTGAATTTAATGTAGCATTGGCCTTGAATTTACATCAGAACTTCTCTGGAATATGGGAATACCTTGCTAGATGGTGTATCAATTATCTATATCAATAAAATCTTTCTATTTTGTTTTATTAAAATATGTGCTTTGGTTTTAAAAAAAAATTTATCTATATTAATTATAAGTTTTATTCATGTCTTGTTTAATTTTATTCATCATCGTACCAAAAATATTTATAGGACTTGTGTCGCGGTAGATAATAGATCCAATGACATCCAAATTTGGACTAGGCAAATTGATATCATTTTTTTTTTCAAAAATAAAATAAAATAAAATATCAAACCACCTTTAAAAAGATTAAAATTTTAAAAGGAATGGTGAATATCAAGAGAGATATTACAATGGTGTCATTGCTTCCTCATAAATTTTTGCCTATCGAGTATTTTTCGATAGTGTTATTTCCTTTATGGCAAAATGTCTTGATTTCTTATGAGTTAATAATTGGAAATCAAAAACTTTAAAGAGGATTGATTGTGTTTCAGGTTCCACATTCAAGCAATCCATGCAGGATCCCTAGGACTAAAATAGCATGCACTCACATTATTATTCAAGAGCTTGAGTGCAGCTTTTGATTTGATGCACCTAGGAGTTTTATATTGATTAATTGATGCCCCTTGTGTTATGAACAAATCCATCAACGAATCAAAAGTTCCCGGCTTCACGACACGAATCTCGAGGGGCCCGATGGACTTATCGTTGGTCCGGCATCGACGGTAGATGTAGTCAAGTTCTTCTTCCATCGCAATGCAACACTCTTTCAATACCTTGGCATCAATGGAAATTGCTTTGTCCACAACGGAGGTGCTGTGAATTATTTCCCAATAAATCACGTAATGTCCTGGCACGGACGAGGTGTCAGCAAAACTAGTGTACTCGACGAGCAGTGCATTATAAGGGTCGAGGAGTTTCTTGGCAACAGTTATACTCTTGTGTAAGTCTTCTTCATTGGTTTTGTCATTGTCGATACTGAGAAGGACATTTCTCCTACAAATGAATCGAAATTGTGGAGTCTGATTGTGAAATCCTGTCACTTGGAGCACGTCACCAATGCGATATCTATACAAACCTGAACCACTCAAGCACAAGTCGCCAAGTATCAATGGAAAATGAATTGAAGATAAGCTCATAAAATTCTCTTTAACATGATTGCTTATAGTATGATTCCAGGTTGACATATTTGAAGTATTTGATGATTTTGAATGTTTTCTATAAATTAAGAACAAAGAAGTACAAAAGTTCAAATATCTATGATAAATCAAATGACAATTATGTTATATGTACATTCTTGTGTATATTTTCTCTTACACGTGGAATAATCTAGGTAGGAAAGAGAGATTATTGAGGAAATCAAAGAGAATGATAATGACATATAGCAGATAATAAGGGAAGATGTACACAAGAGTGTACATGTAGCATGGTTGATCAAATGAACATCATGTCACCCTTTGACTCAAAAAAAAGCATACGTGGATCACACAAGCAAACCAAGAAAATGATTATTTGTAAGATTGTACCTTTATAATATTAAGTCAAAATTGAAATTAAGATTTTAATTCAAATCAAAGTCAACAATTAATTTTAACTACATATTTTATAGAACTCAGTACTTTTCAACCGCACATTTTATCAAATTCTATCAAAATCTACTAAAAATCTTATTTTAATTCCTACCAAGTAAGGGCTAAATATTGTCTTTTGTGTCGTCGTTCTCAAATTTATAAAGAAAAAATTATATTCAATTCTTTGTTGTAAATGTAATTTATGAAATGATAGAAATCATATAGAATACTCTCACCAGAAAACGTCGTAACCACAAGTTCATAGTAGCAACCGACTACGACGTGTACCAGGTCAACCAGTTGACTTTGAGGCACATCTTCATCTTCATCGAGGTCCATCAAAAATGTCCGACTGTCTCCCAGAGGTATGAATTCGAAGAATCCCATGTTTGGCAACATGGTAAAAGAAACCTCGGACGGGTCGCACAAGGGTTTCAAATTGACACCAAAATAACATTCGGAAGAGGCATACATTGTACAAACCAGTGGCAATTTCTCATCACTATAGTACTTTAGAGATGGTATATATTGGGACATGGAGCCCGTGACAACTGCCTCAATGTACTTAGCATTAGGCCAGAGAAGACAAATTATCCCTTTCCAAGAAGGGCACCTGCAAATTTCCTCGATTTCATCAGCTAAATTTGGATCGGGAGATGAAAGCATGATAGACATGGCGGATCTGCATCCAGGATCGTTGATTGTGGCATTAAGGTTGCCTGTCCTAATGTCGTGGCATAGATTACGCCAATTGCGTTCAAGGAAGGAAATGGCACGAAGAAGAGCTGAGGCAAATACTGCGCCTAGGCGTAACACCTTGTGTCGATGGATTAGGCCAGCCAACAATTGGCAATACATGCTTTGGTTGCTATCATAACACAAAATGGCTTGATCCGGGCTCGTGTAATCATTGAATGAATCGTGAGCACGACATTTAAAATGTGGACTCTTGTAGTAACTAGTTAGCACGGTACGAGCTGGTAAGCCACAAGGAGTCGACATCTCAGCCTTGACAAAGTAGAGGAACATGGCTTTGCCCTCCTCGAGTCCTGGTACATACCTAATCATATGGCATGTTTGATACGTCAAATTAGGTAGCAATTGGCAATATTAAAGAAGAAAGATAAGTTAAAACATCGTCTGTCCTTTCTTAACTGGTTAATTATCGGCATGATTAGATTATACAGAAAGGTACGACGATCAAGATCTTCTGCAATTGATGGCATCAATTTGGGCTCTCCTGCTGATGTACCGGAGCTGCATATGGGAACAGAAACAAATAATTAAAACCAAAAAAAAACACATGCATGCTTTCACACACTCTCTTCCTCTCTCCCTTTCTCTCTAACACACATAGACATAGAGAGAGAGACACACACACACACATGCATGCGAGATAGATAGAGGTATATAGAAGAGACAGAGAGAGACCTGCATAGCATCTCAGTGAGGGAATGGCCAGTAATTAAACTGGAGTTTTCACCATTAGCAATTCTTACTATGTAAGGACGAATATCCTTGTACGTAATAACAGGCACACAACGTTTGAATTGGGATACATTTTTCGATCCAACTATGTATTTGTTCAAATAATCTGTCTCCTCGTTTTGTGCTAAGATTTTCTTCAAAATATCCTCTTGAACTTCCTCGGCTTTTGTTGTTAATTTCTCGAGCTCCTTCAATGCCTCCACGCCTTTGTACTCCAACTTCTTCCCGTCCATATATGATCTGTAACATTAAAGAAATAATCATTCTTTCTCAAAAACACTTGTTGTCTGAACAGTTTTTTTTTTTTTTTTTGGGTATTTATTAATTGGAGAGAAGAAAAAAAGGACTAACCTCCGATCAATAAAAGATAACTCAACCAATCTAATCGACTGAAGTTAAAGGAAAAAGTCTCCTCTAAACTTGGGGTACCCTCGTCGTGAAACTGTGTGAATAGTTTAAGAACCTAATAGGGCTATATATAAAGAGCCATGGCATGTCATGTGTAATCCAGCTATACATAGTTGCCTCTATTTGTATATGATTGGTGACAGAATTTTTACTATTGATTCCATCCTTGTAAAAATCTAGCCTCACACTTGACAGTTTTCTTTCTTTTTTTATTGAATGTGTCCATTCAATTTGACTACTTTAGCATAAATAAATAATAGTGCACGAAAATTTTGAGATCAATTATATATGAATTCTTTTCATCAGTATTCTCAGTTTAACTTTTTGCCCGTATCTACTCTAGATTAGGGTTCAAAAGTCGAAAGAATAACTACTTTACCCATTGAACCCTAAAGATGATGACGCATAGCGATTTTTTCCAATTCAAATTGATCCGGACAAAACCTTTGAAATTGTATTAATAATTATGTTTGTATAGGAAGAATTTTCTAATTTGCTAATTCTTTTTGACCATCATCCAAACAATCTCAACCATATATTCGTAACTAAAACCCATCAGTATTCACAAATTTCGTGAGATCCACTACTATTTTTATTAATAGATTTATTTATAAACTATTTATAAAAGGGAGGCTTAAGTGTTTAAATGGACAAAAAAAAACCCTAGTTACTTCGCCAGTTTGAAGAAATTGCATGCAGGCTTCTAAAATTGGGCAAAAGGTTCTTAGTTTGATGAATATACTTACATAATTTGAAATTTGCACAAAAAGAAAGAAGGGGAATTTGGTAATACCTTTGAAGAGAGAAGAGTACGTTTGCCAAAAAACAAAAAACAAAAATCAAAAAATGAATATTATTTACAAATCCAAAAATAGTGGACAAAATGCACTTGCTCTAAAATTGTCCATGTGAGTAAATTTCGACTTATTTTAGAAGCTGTATGTTTGCATCAATGGATGGTAATAATACAAAGAGAAATGCTATGTGTACACGAACAAATATCAGGGTTTTGTACAGGAAGACGCTTAACAATTTTTCACTGGGTGTTGACAAAAAAAAAAAAAACAACCATATATATAACTGTTGCCACCTCTAAAACTGTTTGTATAGAATCCCTGTACAAACAGCTTAACTATAATACAAATCAAGTTTCATGGAAATGAGGCTGAGAATATAAGTTTCATGGCTCAGTTCCAGATTTATTTCTTGGTGGGTAAAACAATGTGACTGAAGAATTATTCTTTATTCCCTTTTCTCTTTCCTTCACATGTTTTTTATTCCTTCTGTTAGTTAAATTCTGTTAGGACATGTGTCCACCTATCATTGGCTACTACTTCATATATATGTTTTTGTTGACCTCGAAAAATGGCTCGGACACGTGGCCAACGGGATATAAGTGTTTAAATGGACAAAAAAAAACCCTAGTTACTTCGCCAGTTTGAAGAAATTGCATGCAGGCTTCTAAAATTGGGCAAAAGGTTCTTAGTTTGATGAATATACTTACATAATTTGAAATTTGCATAAAAAGAAAGAAGGGGAATTTGGTAATACCTTTGAAGAGAGAAGAGTACGTTTGCCCAAAAAAAAAAAAAAATCAAAAAATGAATATTATTTACAAATCCAAAAATAGTGGACAAAATTCACTTGCTCTAAAATTGTCCATGTGAGTAAATTTCGACTTATTTTAGAAGCCGTATGTTTGCATCAATGGATGGTAATAATACAAAGAGAAATGCTATGTGTACACGAAGAAATATCAGGGTTTTGTACAGGAAGACGCTTAACAATTTTTCATTGGGTGTTGACAAAAAAAAAACAACCATATATATAACTGTTGCCACCTCTAAAACTGTTTGTATAGAATCCCTGTACAAACAATCAAGTTTCATGGAAAGGAGGCTGAGAATATAAGTTTCATGGCTCAGTTCCAGATTTATTTCTTGGTGGGTAAAACAATGTGACTGAAGGATTATTCTTTATTCCCTTTTCTCTTTCCTTCACATGTTTTTTATTCCTTCTGTTAGTTAAATTCTGTTAGGACATGTGTCCACCTATCATTGGCTACTACTTCATATATATGTTTTGAACTTTTACATTTCAATTAGATTTAATGAAATAAATTGATTAGAAAACT